TATAGGCTCTTTTCCCCATTAGAATATAAGCCTGGGGCAAGGACTTTATCTTTTCACTTCAAAATAGAGTTGATATATTTTCTACCATTCTTTGTTTATCCCTTTTCCATACCTGGAACCTAACTGCCCTCCCAACTCACTTGCCTCCAAATTCCTTGATTCATCAGATGAGTTCTGGGCATGCTTCTGACAGGCCACTGTTCCATTGTTATCTTTGAATGTCCCCATTTTTTCCCCCTGTCCTTACCTTTGTACTCTCTGATAAATTTTTTCTTACTTGATGATTATAATTCCTGGCTCACAGTCTTCTCTATCCCTCTCCCTCCTGATTTGATGATACTTTTTTTTCTTTTTTGGTCAAAGAGAGTTTAAAATGAAGCTAAAACTTTTTTTGCATGAGAAAGATTGAATTAAACCTTACACAGAAGTAAAAGGTTAATAAAACATTAAAAGGAGAGATTTCCTGTTAATTGGAAGAAACTGTATGATTTTTGTTAATAAAGAAGACAAAGTTGTATCTGCTTTCTTAACACTAAGGTGGATTTTCCATGTCTGAAAAGAGGTTAGAATTTCTGGAGACAGAATTCAGTACATTAAGAGGATACATCCAATGGGCTGAATTGCTCTGAAAGTTTCTCAGCAGAATCCATAGGACCAGTATCTGCCACATGAAATGGGTGGCAGCAGGCAGTTGATGATACTTTTTTTTTTTTTTTAAGATTTTATTTATTTGAGAGAGAGAGCACGAGCAGAGGGAGAAGCAAACTCCCTGATGAGCAGGGAGCCCAATGTGGGGCTCGATTCCTGGACCCTGGGATCATGACCTGAGCTGAAGGCAGATGCTTAACCAACTGAGCCATCCAGGCGCCCTTTTTACTTCTTATTTCTCATTTACTTGTATGATCAAATAAACCCTTTCCCTTAAAGTATTGTTCCAGTTCTCTCCCTTCCTTCCTCTGCCAGACTTTTTTGGAAGAAAACTAATGGCTCAACTCCTTTAGTAAATATATCTTGATTTTTTTATAATCTGCTTTGGTTTCCAAAGTTTTTATTGGACAGCCCATTCCCTGGTCAAATGACTCCTAAGTCACTAAATGCAGAGATCTCTTCCAGCCTATGTAGTATATGATATTAACTTTACTTTACCTTTTAAGACTTCTCTTCCGTTGCTTTTTAGTAAATGCTTTTTAAAGTGTTCACTCTTCTGATTATTTTTATTTTTGTTCACATTAATATCCTTTAAAACTTTTTTGCTTTTTCTTGAAACTTGGAATACTTTCCCTACCATTTAAATCTGTGCTGTCTAATATGGGAGCTGGTAGCCAAAGTTCCATTGGAGATATGGCCAGTTCAGACTGAGATATTCTGTTAGTATATAATACACACTGGGAGTTTCAAGATTTAAGGTGAAAAAGAGAGAATGTAAATATCTCATTAAATTTTATTTATTTTTATTTTTTAGATTTTTTTTTTTTTAAGATTTGGGGGTCCTATTCCATACAACCTTCCACCATTTATGGACCCCTTCCCGCTCTTTCTCTTCCCTCCTGGAACAACCCAGATTCCTTTTTTCCTAACGGTTTATCAGTCCTTTTTTTAAAATTTATTTTTAATTTAAATTCAATTAATTAGCATATAATGTATTATTGGTTTCAGAGGTAAAGGTCATGATTCATCAGTGTTATATAACACCCAGTGGTTATTACATCATGTGCTCACCTTAATGTCCATCGCCCAGTTACCTCATCCCCCCTCCTCCCTCCCCTTTAGCAACCCCAGTTTGTTTCCTATGATTAAGAGTCTCTTATGGTTTGTCTCCCTCTCTGCTTTCATCTTACATGTTGATAATATTTTATATATATTGGGTTAAATAAAAAATATTGCTAAAATTAGTTTCACCTGTTTCTCTTTATTTTTTTATTTTTTAAAGATTTTATTTACTTGAGAGAGAGAGCATGAGTGGCAGGGGAGCGGCACCCTGTGGGGAGGGGCAGAGGGAGAAGGAGAAGCAGGTTCCCCTCTGGGCAAGGAGCCCAACCTGGGGCTTGATTCCAGGACCCTGGGATCATGACCTGAGATGCTTAACTGACTGAGCCACACAGGCGCCCGTTTCTCTTTTTAAATATAGCTGTTACATCTGTAGCTTGATTATATTTCTGTTCAACAATGTTGATATAAATTTTATCTTTTTTTAAAGATCCTCCAGATCACTTTTCCATCTAATACAAATTTCTCTTCTGAATTGCATTACCAGCCTTCTCAGCCTTCTGGAACATTTACTCCCCCAGGCTTGCGCACCCCCCCCAACATACTAAGCTTCTTTAGAACCAGGGTAATTCCTTATAGTGCCTTTCATATATTGGAATATAGGGATAAAAGAGATAGAAATATTAAAAATATGTATACACACTAACATGAATAAATGACATGGCTAGTATTACCACTTTATCAAAGAGGATACTTAAAGTAGATGATGCTGGTTGTGATGTTTTTGCTCCATCTGATGAGAAATATGAGGGATTGATGTGAAGGGGAGGAGAGACCTTACTCTACTCTGAGATATTAAAAATCTGACATGTACTTCCCCCAAGTATATTCAGTCACCCCAGGCCACTCAGTTCTGAACTATGCTGTTGTGATTTTACCGCCATCTGGTGTCAGGATTAGGAAACTGTAATTCAGTACTTTGTCTACTCCCCCACCCTGCCTCCTGCTGGACAAAGTAGGCAGTCTTTCCTGGGCATGTGGGCCTGCTGCTCTTCTTCTTACCTAGATAAGTTATCAGTAAGAGCTCATTTAATTTCAGTGTAGGAAATCTCCTTAGAGCAGTCTTTCCTTGGCTTCCCTGGTAACTTACTTACTGGTTTCCCTCATGTTTCTGTGGCTCTTCTCTTTCATTCTCAGATAGCCCATTTCTCTTCCAGTGTAATTTTTTAGTCCTAGATTCTGGGCCCTACCTGAGGCTTTAAATACTGCCTATTTATAGAAAAATTTATAGTTAATAGCCAAAAAATCCCTTCTAATCTTGTCACTGATGTGTCTAGTTGCCTACTAACTGGCTGTTACGTGAGCATCTCAAACTTAACGTGTTCAAATCTAAGTGTGGCTCTCGTACCACACCCCAGTTTCTCAAATCTCTTTTTCTCATTTCAGTAATTCATCATGCCAGAATTCTTGGAATCATCTTGGCATCCCCTGTCTCTTAACACTCATTAGTCAGACATTCACCATGTGCCATTGAGTCTATAAAGATGCACTCTTGTACGTGTTAAAGTGCTCCCCTGCTCTGGCCTTATCTAAGCTACCACCGTCTCTTGTCTGCATGAGTAAGCTCCTAATTAGTCTCCCTGTGTACATGCTTGACTGCATTCACATGTTTTATGTTAATTTGTTTAAAATCTGCCTCTTCTAGCATGAGAGTTTCATGACGGGGGAGTGACTGCATGCATTTGGTTTATCATTGGGTCCTCGGCCCCTGGTACAGGTCCTGAGACCTGTGTAATACATATGTAGCCACTAGGCTCTCAGTGATGTCGATATGGCTTCTGTAGTTTTGCTGATTGAGATTGAATGCATTAGAATTTCTTGAATGCTTTATTTTGGCATTAGTATTTTGTCTGAGTCCATTTATCCTAAATGAGTTTTAGCTGTTTTCTACTTTGGTCTAGAGAATTGTAATTGTATCTGTAAGGACAATATATTTTGGGTATTAATCTGCTAATGACTATTTATATATTAGGGACTGCTGATCAATATGCTGAAATTTTCTGAACATTTGAAATTTTATGTCATTGGTTTGTCTCTTAGCATTCTTCTTTCTGAAATGCAATGTTCCTTAATTTTAATATGGAAATACACTTGCTAAATCTTCAATTAAAACCTGTTTGATGCCAAGTGTTCCTTTAAATGGAGGCTCAGATCTTGATAGTTTCATTTAGTAATTTTGGTTTGCTTTGATGTTTTAAAGTTAGTTTTGCTTTATAAAGTTTTACTCTTCGGACTTTCTACGTTGAATTGATGATATTGCTTAATACGGAAATTTAATTTGTAAAAGTAGAGGTGATTAAAAGCTGGTGGTTAGAGATAAGCAACAATGAGTACACTAAGGATGCAAACTCAAGAGAGCAAGGACTTAATAGGTATATACCAGGGTTTCTCAGCCTTGGCATTACTAACATTTTGGGTCAGATAGTTTTTGTTGTGTGCTTGTATCGGACTTGCCCTAGGCATTGTAGGGTCTTAGTGGCATCCCTGGTCCTCCCCACCAGCGGCAACCCCTCCTCTCCAGTTATGACAACAAAAATGTCTGTAGAGATTGCCAGATTGGAACATGGGAAGCAAAATCACAGCAGTTGAATACCAGTAGTGTGTACTATACTTGGAAGTGGATAAGAGATCATGATATGTCTCACTTGGGAAATCTTTGATATTCTCTAGATGTCTTTGAGAGTATGGTAGCTATGTAGAATATTGTTAATGGCAAACAGAAGTAGAGACTGTATGACTATGTTTTTCACATCATAACATTTCTGTGTTTGCTTAGAATAAAGTCACTTGATCTTAACTACCTGGTTCTATCCCCAAACTGAAAAAAATGTATGCATTCTAAATCATACATCACTGATAAAGTTTCATTTTGTGGACTGACATTAGAAGTTAGGTGATGGGGTGCCTGGGTGGCTCAGTCAGTTAAGCATCTGACTCTTGGTTTCAGCTCAGGTCATGATCTTGTGGTTGTGAGATTGAGCCCCACATTGGGCTCTGCGCTCAGTGCAGAGTCTGCTTTAGATATTCTCTCCTTCTCCCTTTGCTTCTGCCCCCTCTTGTGTACCCTCTCTTGATCTTAAAAAAAAAAAAAAGAAAAATTAGGTGGTGGTTAAAAAAGAAGGGGGGGAGAACCAAGATTACAATGTAAAGAGTAGCTTATAATCAAAGCTTTTGCCATTTGTATTGTGTATGTAAGTTACAGGGTATAATTCGCTTTTTTTTTTTCTTCAAAGGGACATGAGAGATGGCTTTAGAAGAAAAAGTTTCTATTCTTCCCATTACACGAGAGACCGGTCTCCTCATAAAAGAGACACTCCTTTTTTCAGAGAATCACCTGTAGGTCGGAAGGATTCTCCACACAGCAGGTCTGGCTCCAGTGTCAGTAGTAGAAGCTACTCTCCAGAAAGAAGCAAAACGTACTCTTTCCATCAATCTCAACATAGAAGTATGTATTTTTAAAACTTCTTTTACAACCTCCACTAATGAGAATGTACTGATTCAGATTGCCTTATAGGTATTGTAAGATATATTTTTAACCTTTTATTTTGAAAATTTTGAAGCTTATAGAAAAGTTGAAAGAAGAATATGATGAATACCACACACACACACATTTTTTGGAACCATTTCAAGTTGCAGTCCACACTGACATTTCACTTCTAATTCTTCAGCACAGAAGAGGTGTGTTTGTAATCATGTTGGAAAGTTATATACTTTTGTGTTTTTTTTGTTTTGTTTTGTTTTTTTTAAGATTTTATTTATTTGACAGGGAGAGACACAGCGAGAGAAAGGGAACACAAGCAGAGGGAGTGGGAGAGGGAGAAGCAGACTTCCCGCTGAGCAGGGAGCCCGATGCGGGGCCTGATCCCAGGACCCTGGGATCATGACCTGAGCCGAAGGCAGACGCTTAACGACTGAGCCACCCAGGCGCCCCAAGTTATATACTTTTGTATTTTCTGCTAGTTCCTGTGCTAGTCCATCCTCTTTAATCTTCTGTCACTAGAAGATATCTATCTGTATATATATTTGATAGTATATTTTTCATGAAACATGTCAGTGATTTCCCCTAAATATAAGGTATATAACCTTATAGATTTTAGAGCTAAAAACCTACCTTAGGTTCATTTTTTTTTTCCAACCTCCAATTTGTTGTTGTTGTTGTTGTTGTTTTTAATTTGGAATACCTAGATGTGCACGGCATTCTGTGCAATCATGGCATGTCATTCTGGTTTAGTATGTGTTGGAATAAATAAATGAAGCAACTTATTTTCTAGATAATGTTTTAGCTTTCTGGACTCCACTACCTGCAGTTGAGCTCATTCACAAACATTTCCTCATGCCTTCTTAACTTTGATAGAAGAATTAATATGTCATAAATGAGTTAAGATGGCATGAGCAGGTTAAGGTGAGAGAGACTCTCACTCTGGTAGTTAGGAGAACATGTGATGGAAGAAATCAACATTTGGGCTCATCTTTTATTTCAGATTTTTACAAGTATCTTCTAGGTAGAGGGAATTATAAGCCAAGATACACCAGAAAAGTCAAGTGTATTTCTTTTTCTTTACTTTTTAACTTTCTTCCTATTAACTGTTTTTGTTTTTGTTTTTTTTTTCAAATAATAAGAGTTTTAGTTTTAGTTTAATAGCATTTGCTCCCTGCATGTTGGGAGTGATGGAAGATTGCTTCAAATCATTAGATTGTCTCCATTGGAGCTGTTGCTGGATTCCAGTATTTAACAGACATTTATCAATTTTTTGCTGTTTTCAGAGCTAGGTAGACTGGGCCTTCCAAAAAACATATTTTTGGCTACAAGTGTATGAATGGTCATACAGGAGTTAAACATGTCAATTGAGGTAGATTTAAAACAAAATCATTTACATATGCCTAATTGCTTAAAATAAGCATATAGTTCCAGGTAACTGAAAGCTTTACTATGGAGTTCAGGGTCTACAGTTTGGTATTTTTTCCTTTGTTTCACTTCCTTCTTTCCCTCCCTCTCCCCTTTCAAGAGGATAAATAACATCTGAGTTGGTTTTTTTTTTTTAAGATTTTATTTATTTATTTGACAGAGAGAGACACAGTGAAAGAGGGAACACAAGCAGAGGGAGTGGGGGAGGGAGAAGCAGGCTTCCCGCAGAGCAGGGAGCCCGATGTGGGGCTCGATCCCCGGACCCTGGGATCATGACCTGAGCTGAAGGCAGACACTTAACGACTGAGCCACTCAGGTGCCCCAACATCTGAGTTCTAATGCACACTCACATGCACAGACATAAATATTAGCTAGACACCTTCTAAGAAGATACTTTTTTTTTGGGATGTATATGACTTAATCCAAATCTAATGAGAGGAGGAAAGTATCTTTGGAAACGGATTATGAAGGCTTTTGAACAAAACATGAGTAAAATGGGAGCTTAAGATTCTTACTTGACAGCTTGTAGTGAACCTGTTACTTAAGATATTTCTTAGTGAATTCATCTTATTCTTTCCATTTCTCCTCTGAACTAGATTTTGAGGGAGACAATTTTTTGTCTAGTTTCAGCCTGGTAGTTAGTAGTCAAAACTTTAAACTCTTGTGATGAAATGTGGGGGAACCATGTGCTGCTCCTGTCTTAGGGTCTCCAGCAGACTTTCCCTTTTGAGGCCTAATACCTTTACTATCTGGAGTGATGAAAAGGTAGTAAAGAAAGCTGGGAGACTAAAATATGGTGCAAATTGAGTGAAATAGAGCATACAACTTTGGTAATGCCTTTATGCTTATTTTTTTAAGTGTCTGAGCTTCTCAAGTAAAGTTCTTCAATCAAAAAAAGTTTGTTCGGGAAAACTCTTTACAAGTTACTTGGGTTGATTCCTTAACTGTTTGGGCTGAGCTATTAAAATGTTTTTCTATACTCCTTTCATGTAAATAGTTTTTAGAATAGTTACATAAAATCATCTTGCAAAAAGTTAATGGAGAAGTCTTATTTTAAACAATAATTGGAAAAAGTAATTGTTATGTTACACATTCGTGATACCAGTTCTTCCTTTTAATCTAAATGTGACAGATAATGATGGCACCTTGCTTTTCTTCAAAAAAGAACTGAGAAACAGGGTCCTTAAATTATCAGTTATTTAAACTGGGTTAATTAGCAACAATGTGTTAATTTAGTTTTTTAAATGTAAATTGAAATTTTGTCAAAGATTTTAAATGTTTCTATAAATAACAGGTAAAAATAATTTTCCTACTCTCCTTATGCCCTCATTTTGCTAAGTTTGACTTTTAATTTTTTGCTTTTTGTTCACACTTTTCAGTGTAATTTTAATAATCACTAGTAGTGGGGCGCCTGGGTGGCTCAGTCGTTAAGCGTCTGCCTTCGGCTCGGGTCATGATCCCAGGGTCCTGGGATCGAGCCCCGCATCGGGCTCCCTGCTCAGTGGGGAGCCTGCTTCTCCCTCTCCCACTCCCCCTGCTTGTGTTCCCTCTCTAGCTGTGTCTCTCTCTGTCAAAATAAATAAATAAAATATTTAAAAAAAGAAAAAAATCACTAGTAGTTTGGCCATGGTAACCATTGAAGGACTAATTCTTCATAATTCTTCTGTGTATTTAATATATCTCTTATGTGATTAATTATAAGCCACAAAATGATTTTTACTACTTTTTTATCTCAACTACTTATTTCCCATTTTGTGCTCACACACACATATACATGTCTACATGTGTATTTTATTAAATTTCTTCTATTTAGCCTTTTGAGTTAATCCTGTGAACCTTGTACTGCTTTAGACTAATTATCCTCCTAAATCAAAATGTTATTTTCATTCTGTGCTTTATAAGAATTTTCTTCCTTTAGCTTAATTGGATTAACATGTTCATAATTGGCACTATAGTAGTCACTATAATATTATTTTTTGTTCCTTTTTGTTGTCTATATTTACAAACTAAGTCCTAGTTAACCTCATTGCTTTTCCCTTTATTATGATGCCATTCTAGTTAAAATTGTTGTATGTATATCTTGTCTTTTTCTACTTGAAGTTTATTTTTATTCCTATTAATCTAACTAAATATCTCCCCATTTGTGAACTCTCTCTCAGATATTTATTTCCTTTTTTCTCCTCTTTCTCAATTGAATCCCATTGTTCTCCTATCTTACTCTTTTGTTTAGGATAATAGCACTAATAGTGACACCAGAAATCACTAAGTTCAGTCTCCCATACCCTGAGGTTTTTTGTTAAAATACTTCCTGTGATAAATTTACTATATCACAGTCCAGTCCTTCTGTCCTTGTATAGTTCATTTTTTATAAAACAATTAAAATCTTTTCCTGTAACATCTATGTAATACTAGTTATTTGTCTTAGAGCCATAAAAATGTTTCATCTTTTGTGTATTTGAAGAGTACCATCATGATCTTCTCGGTTTTTTCCCCCCCTTGGTTTAAATATATTTAGTTCCTTCAGCTATTCCTTTTATTTGACATGTTTTCAGAACTTTGCTTCCTTAATTTTCTTTCTGTTCCTTTTAAATTGTGATGCAGAAGTGAACTTTTATCAACCGCACTGTATCACTGGCCCTTATTGAAACTGTAGACAATTGAAACCTAAGCCATTTTCATATATATTACTATTAAACAAAATGCCCTTCAGCCTGTACTTTTTTTTTAGATGCAATTGCTTGAGTGTAGTTTATATATTAAAAGAAATCTAAGAATGCTAAATATTATCTAATTAACTTTGACTTATTACCCTCTTCTATAGAGGTCTTAAAATTTCATTTAGTGATCTTGTATACTTGCAGCAGATAAAAACAGCTCTGTTTCATCAGCGAAGGAAATATGCTTTGTTTTGTATTAGTCCTTAATAATTATCTTGAGTAGCATACAGCCAAATATAGAAACCTCTAGAGACCTCTGTCTGTAGACCTCAGCCATTTATCTGCATTGTTTTCAACCAGTTGTGATCCCCCGTCTTGTCTTCCTTTTTTCTTGAGGATTTCATGGAAGACTTTGTTAGGTGCTTTCTTGAAACTCTTAAATTAGAAAGCATTTTCTCTATTAAAACAGTGACATGGGGCGCCTGGGTGGCTCAGTCGTTAAGCATCTGCCTTCGGCTCAGGTCAAGCCCCGCATAGGACTCCCTGCTCGGCGGGAAGCCTGCTTCTCCCTCTCCCACTCTCCCTGCTTGTGTTCCCTCTCTCGCTGGGTCTCTCTCTGTCAAATCAATAAATAAATCTTTAAAAACAAAACCAAACAAACAAAACAGTGACATAAGGTTGCCTTGCATTGTTTTGTAAATCCATTGTGTCATGATTATTTAAATTCATAGAAACTACCTCTTCGTTAATTCCTTTTAAACATTTGCCTATGGATTAATGTCAAATTAATCATTATGCTTATACATTAGTTAAGCTGTGTGACATTTTGGTAGATTTTTAAAAATATTACTACAGAAGATTTGCAAGTTTATTGTTTTGGTT